GATCACATTTAGCGATAGTGATGGTTGCCACATTTCTCTGGAACCCTTCCATTAGCAACTGCTTTCTGTAGAGACCTAGAGCAATCCCTTGTCGTCTTGCCTCAGCCCAATACAGTTCGTATGTTGTTGGATCTCTGGACGGCTGATGTCGGCTTTGATTGCTGCTTTAAGTGAGCTAATTGCTATTCTCCTACGCAGCCGCTATTATGGAGGCAGTTTCCTGAGTTTTTTATATGTTTTAAAGTGATAAAAAAATCGCTAATGATTGTTTTATTTCTCTTATTGTTCATTCGAATCATGCAAATGTTTGTGGAAGGGAAGGGTTCCAGAGAAATGTGGCAACCATCACTATCGCTAAATGTGATCAGTGGTTCAGATATATGCAAACGTATTTGCCACGATGTATAAATGGCGAAGAAATTGAAGGCTAAAATAGTTTTTTAAAAATCGCTAATGATTGTTTTATTTCTCTTATTGTTCATTCGAATCATGCAAATGTTTGTCGAACCACGCTATAGAATATAACGTTGGCCCTCATGATTGTCCAAACGCGTTATAGATTGTCAATGATTATGCTAATAGCACTAATGAATTTTCACTTTTGGGTAAATGATTGTCTGTCAATTGGTGTTATTGAAGTTGAATTTCGCGCACAAGAAAATACATTCCGCGCATATGAATGTACGAACGCGCTATTGATTGTCCATTGATGTCCATGAATGTACACGCATATTCAATTATCGTTATTGAAAGTTGATTCGCGCTAATGATGTTACTTGTGGTGTTGATGAAAGTACATTACACGTTATTGATACAACTATTGGCACAAATGAATGTACATTTTCTGTTAATGAACAGCAAAAGGTGTAATGTGACTTACATTTTATATTTCGTAGTCTATTCTACAAGCCTGACTAAAAGATCCGCGAACCTCCTGATAGCTGTCCATTTTTAGACGTGAATACGTACAAATACAGGAATATATCAGAGGTGGCGTTACTTCAGTTCACATTTTACCTTTATTTTTGCAGCAATCTTAGGAATTCTGGTGTTAGAAATTTTGGCTTTAATTATGTCACACTCCAGCATGAATTCCGGTTTGGCCATTTTCCTCTTTCTGCATATCTTGCGTCACAGCTAAGCCTCGTGAGCTTTCATGCTTCTCCATGCTTATTTTGAACGAACAATACGATTCAATACGACTCTGCTATTAACCCTTTCTCTTGGCGTAAATTTTTTCTCTCTTGTCTGTCAGTACGTAAAATAAAAACACAAAATACGTAAAGAATTTGAAGGTCTTCCTCTTTTCTTCAGCTAAAGGAGCCTCGTCTGTTTGCCGTTTATTGATTCCCTTTTTACGATCCTTGTCAATCCAGCGAGCAGCTCCACCACCGACATCCAATCCATATTGATGAACCATCGTCGTATTTATAGTGGTCTGTTTTCTACAATTCGTCGAACAGATAAATTAAAGCACTACTCCGGAATGTTGTCTTTTGGTGCTGAAGCCTTAACCAAAGATCAAAAACCACATTCAACCATACTTTACCTGAAAAATGCCTCGTAAATGGTTTGCAAAGTTGAGCGTTTTAGAAGGCTAATAATATACCGTATTACATCAAGTGAAGTACTTATTTTAGCAAGCAGGTACCAGAAAAACTCGGCACCACCAAAATCCTTCGTCAATGACAGCAGTTTTTATTATGAACTCTGATACGTTTATTATGGTAATCATATACTTTTGAGGACACCGAAAAAAAATTGAATTAAAATTAAAACCAATTGAAATATACGATAAAGTCCTCTATCTTTCAATTAACCTCGGCTTTTTCTAACATTTATTTGTTTATTAATCTATCAGAAACAGTTATTCAGAGTTGATATTTTGAGTAAACCCGGCTAGAAAGAGTACATTATAGTCGGGCTATTTTTGAGAAGATCGGCGAGAGGGTGTAATGAAACCGAAAATACACTGAAACCACTAATACACGGTTCGAAACAACAGGAAGAGGTCTGGTAGTATTTTTGATCAAAAACGACTTATTTCATTGTGGGAATGAATTTCCTGACCGCTTAACCCATTATCGTTAATTTACAAAATGGTAGTCGCTTAAGATGAAAATGAAATGTTTTACAAATTAGAAGAAACCTTTTTGTAGGAAACCGCAAAAATGAGGAATTCTGTTCGAAAGTATGAGGGCAGGAAATGAAAGTACTTTGTAGTTCTATTTTTTTATTAACGATACTACGTATTGTTGTAATGCAAAGATTCTTTTAGTATATTTTATGTACAATGGACCAAATCCCTCGGGCGTAATATTTTGCCCATTTCAGACAAGAGAAAATGATTACGAATAAGATTGATTGAGAATAATGCCCCGTCCACACTATGCCGGATAAATTTGAATCCGCAACTTTCACACCGAAACCGAAAAAAAAGTTTTCCGTCCACACATGACTGAAAACGGATAAAATGTTTCGCGTCCACACTAGTCCGATCAGAGGCGGCAAAAACGCTTCATTGCACATCATCTGAGCATGTGCATCGAAGCTGAAATTGAGCCCACGGTAAATTTTTAGCCTTCCCGCCAAGTTCCCATGACAATCATGACGTCATCGTATTCGAAAAGTTCCTGATACGAAATGTTCTCCGTCCACACTAATACGGCTAGCCGGCGTTTTAAAATTGTTCCACTCTGGAGACCGTATTCGAAAAAAATCGTTTTCGGTGAAGAATTGTTCCGGATTCGCCCGGACTAGTGTGGACGGCAGGCCTAACCGAATAAATAAAAATTCGGATTCAAATTTATCCGGCATAGTGTGGACGGGGCCTAAGATTCTTCGTTTGAGTTGTATCCATATTCATGTGTCTTCTCATGCGCAAACGTTAAACAAAGAAACAATATACTAGGGAATGACACGTGGTCTGATATGGGAAAATAATGAATTAGGTCTATAGAATAAAGCTCCGATACACTTTTCTTTATTCTCGAAACTACTCTTGTATGACCGGGAAAAGTTGCAATAGTGCAACTCTCATATGGCTTTCTTCTTCCGTCAATATGATTGGATAGTTTGAGATTTCTTGCATTGTGATTGCTTCAGGGTGAACGCTATAAAAAGTCATGACATATTTTTATCCCAAAAGAGACACGCCTTATCGGGAAATGTTAAGAGGGAACTTCTTGTAGTTCCAATGACTTTTTTTAAAGTCTGACACTTATTAATTTATTTAGAAAACTAATTTTTGGATATTTTTTATAAGACTTTTTTCGCTCTCCAGTCGAAGAACTCTTCGAAGTCCTCGCTATCGCTACTCGTACTATCGTCTTGTTTGTTCTCTTCTTTTGCTATCTCTTCTATTTTCTCTTTGATGATGGACTGTTTATCTCTTAGTTGGTTAGCCTTGAGGAAATATTCCCTGTAATCAAGGACAATGAAACCAAGTTTTAATTAATCTCCTAAGCAAACTTTTAGAATTTTGAGAAGCTTGATTTAACATATGAAGAGAGGATTTCGCTTACAGTGCGACCACACCAACCACTAGACAAATTCTTATAAAAATTAGCCCATCCCAGTCGAGTATTTTAAAAACATATATTTAGCTTTATACATGGATGTATAAAATTAGTGGACAAAAAACAGTTTAAACTCCAGAATTATTCACTATCCTGTTATATTCAGCGTTAAAAACGTGATATTGTCATGTGCTCAAGTGAAAGATGTCAAACGATTGTCAACCTTTTCAGTATGGGGTGTTCTGCCTCTAACATTACCTCACGATGGGTGACAAAAAGGTTCTCATAGTGTGTATACTGAATGCTGTAAATAAGTTCTGCTTTGATCACTGACATTTCTTTTATCTACTAACCTCTGTTCATTCAGTTCATACAATTGCCGATCAATTCGAGCGACCTCATCATCTTCTTCAACCAAAGCCTCAGATACCTATATTAAACAAATGTAAAAACGATATACTGCCATTTTTTTCTAAGCATGATTTAGTAAATATCAACTTGGGTATTCTACAGTGTTTTTCCAATGAATTCCATTCACTAGTTTTTCACTATTTTTAAAATAAAGAAATACACAAATAAAAAATTTAATAGTGGCATTTCCACAGTGGCTCTTCATCCACTGAAATTCCAATTGGAATTTAGAATTTGATTTTTGTGGAGGGAGGAAAGCCAGGGAACCCGGAAAACCCTCAAAGCACAGGAAAATGGCAATATAGCTTGCTATCCTTCTACCAGGGAGGAAGGGGGGCTGCTGGGGTAAAAGTATTAGGTATACTTGTCAGAGATTTTCAAAAATACTCTTAAAAGGTACTGGAATTCCTTTGAAAARGGTGTGTTTGGACGATTTTTTACCCCTAAGAGATACCCTAAAAGATACCAAGATATGCAAAAATTCTAAATTTCAATTTTAAAACCCTAAAAGATACCAACTTGCTGATTTTTACTCCTAAGAGATACCAATGACCATACCTGATACTTTTACCACTGAGTCACCCCAGGGGGCCTTCTACACAGGGAACTATTGTATTATGAAAAATGCCCTTTAAATTAAAGACCTGTTTTTGACTCGCATGCTATTCCCAGCAATAAAAACAAGTAACAACTCTACCTGGTTTGCCATTTGAATTTCTTTTTGGAATTTTTCCCACTCTAATTCAACTGGATCTTTGTATTCTACTTTTCTGGCCTGTGTTAAAATAAATAAATAAATAAATAAATAAAACTAAAACTAAAATTAAAATAACAATGTTATTTATTACTATTTAGTAGTTTTCCTTATCCACATCTTTGTTTAACAGCAGATCCTCATAAGCCCTAAGGCTGCCGATATATGTAGTTATATTTTCATATTTCATTATAGCTATAAATAAAATAATAAAGTATTGATTGGATATTGATTGATGAAATGTATTGTGCAAAGTCAACAGTCAACCAAAAGCAAAATTTTTAACGATTTTGCAAAAATATAAATGTAAGAGTACAAAAATATCTCATTAAAAAATGGTTTTTGTACCTTTGCATCTAATTTAGGATCATCAAAAAATCCTTCCGGTATATCCTCTGAAGGTTTCCTGTAAAACAGTAAAGAACGTTGACTCAAATGACAAATTAACATAAACAAACAAAATTGATAGCCACGGGGCTTTCAGAATAAGCTTGATTCCACCGGGGCATTTGCTTTGAAGTTAGCCACTGGCTACTTTTTCTTTTCTATAAGATGCCTTCTGTTCTTTGTATCGGGTCACAGGCAGCTACTTCAGACTTATAACTACCTACTCCAAAACATTCTGAATTCGAAAGCCCTCAGTCTGTGCTGTTGTTGGCGTGAGCATAAGAAATAGTAGTTACCTAGGTTTTTCCTCTGAATTTGTTTTGTCCTTTTCCTCTTTTTTGTCAAAGAAATCTAAAAATGGCAACATTGAAAAAGATATTTTAAAAGATATATTTAGCTTWAAAATATCCATATCCATATATTAATGTACACCTTGGCTTTCCTAAATTTGCTTGAGTGACCATGAAACAGTGGTTCCAAGTCTAGGCTGGACTTGACATGTTCAATGCATTTATTGTATTTTATCAAGTCCAAACTTACTCCAAGCCATTGTTTTGTGGTCACTCAAGTGTTGTGGGTTTAAATCCATGAATTAAGATCGAATTAAATTTCTTCATTTTCCCCCAAAGGCAATGTCCATTGTAAGACATTCCTAAAGTAAGACTTTGTCATTCAGAACCTGCTTTTTGATTTCCTCATATTAAAGCACTACTTTTGYTTGGTTAGGTTTTCTTTGAATTATTATTTGAAAGACCCATCTATAGTCATACTTTTTATCCTATGTATTTTTTTAAACCACTCATGAAATTCGTTGCAAATGGAGAAGAATGTCTTCATTCCCACTGTAGCTCTCCAATTTATCTTTCATTATCTGTATTATTATATTTGTTGAAAATATATATAAATAAACACCTGCTGGTAAACCTGAACTTGATACTGCTTGCTGTTTATCTTGTGCATTATCATCATCATCATCTTCATCATCACTATCATCTGACGGTAAGTTTGTTAATGACCCTGCCACTTGTTTTGATGGGTTGTCAAAAAAGTCTGATGGTAAACTGAAATACAGGGCACAATAAATCTCTTTAACAACAGAGCAATATTTCTTTGTTTAATCTTTGTGCATGAAAAGATATGTGAATATGGATATGACTCAAACAAAGAATCTTATTCCCAAGGGTATTGATGTGGTTTGAAATGAGAAAATCTTGTGCCCAAGCTTAAGAATTATTGATATATTTTGTATAAAAGAAAATCACACAATGACAACAGAGCATAAAGTACCTTGATGACTGTTCTGTAGATGCTGTATATTTTATATTCAAAAGAAAACAATGTTACATTTAGTAAAAACAATACTCCATTTTACAGTTCGATTCAGTGACCACGAATAATAGTTCATAGCCGAGGTTGGAGTTACCTTGCATGATAAACATTGTAGTTTTTCTATGTGCGGAAACTCCAGCCTCGGCTAGGAAATATTATTCGTGGTCACTGAACAAAACTGTAAAATGGAGTATTACTGTATGATAAACAATGTAAATTTCAAACGAATTCCTTATTATTGGTGGTGTGTATGATTTCCTTCCCATGAAAAAAAACCCAAGACAATAAACATGGCTACCATGTTGCTTGACATGACAAAAGACACCAAGATCAAATCTTTCGTCAAAGCCAACCAAAAMTATGGCAGTTATGATGTCACATGCACCCCATGAATATGGGTGGACATTGCACATAGCTGTGGCTGGATATCTAGTTCTTTTTTCAAGATTTTTTATTTTTTTCCAAACCTTTTATTTTCTTTTTTGGAATTCCATTTTCTTCATCTCCTTGCTGGAGAAAAAAATTAACAGAAAAAAATTTTTAGAAAATATTATGTTCTTGTTGTTATCATTACCAATGAAATCTTACTTACTTGGTTAGTTTTTCTTTTTTCTAATGTTGGTGGTTYAGCTGGTTTGAGAAAAGTAGGGCTTTTCTGAAAAAAAGAGTCCCTAATTCAAYGGTATTGCTATTTTACAAATAAAACATCTTTTKCTGTGCTCCGTTCAGTAATAAAGCAGGCAGGAAGTGACGTAAGCATGAAGAAGGCAAGTGCTTCTYACACTTCTTGAGTGCTTACRCAATTCCTAAGTGCTTTATTACTGAACGGAACATGGAAAAAGACGTTTCATTTGTTTTATTATGTAGTTACTTTTTTTTTTTTGGTATTGAATTTATTTATGCAAAAAGAAAGATGGTYACAAGATCTAGCAACACTTTGCRCACGCAGATGACATCAGCACTGTGTTCTGTTCACTAATAAAGCATAGTTTTTGACCAACTAAAGAGTACAATTGTCCCCTTCATGGTTCCCTGTGTCTTCTGGAAAGGTAGCCGGGCCTTTGCATCGAAGCGAGACAAACGGTGAGCTTGCAACGATAGAGACCTGTGAATAATTGTCCAAGGTGTTAAAAAARGTCTCTATCATTTGCAAGCTCAATGCTTGTCTTGCTTCAATGGAAASGTACGGCTACCTTTCAAGATGGCGCAGGGAACTGTGAAAGGGACAATTGTACTTGCATACCTGGTTTCCTTGTTGCTGGTCGCTTTTCTTAACTTGTTGTGTTACTCTAGTATTCTTTTTGTTCTTTAGTTCTGCAAAGTTCTGTAATAATAATTTTTTTAAATAATTTAAGATTTTGAACTCCCATCTTACAGTAYCTGTAATTTTCCAATCCATTCCACTCTTAACTAATGGAATATTCCATTCGTATTACCAGTACAATCTATTCTATCCCATTCTACTCTATTATATACCATTCTATTGTATTTTATTCCATTCTTTTGTATTCCATCCATTCAATCCTATGCCATTCCACTTATTCTATTCTATTCCATCCTGTTGTATTCCATTCCATACAATCCTATTCCTTCCGATTTATTCCCACTCTACTCCACTCCAATTCTATTCCATTCCATCCTGTTCTTTTCTATTTCATCCTATCTAGAACATGTAAGTGCAGTGTACCCACAGTTAGCCATACCTATTTATGCAAGTGCAATGTGAGTGTTACAACCATAAACAGTTATATGGTACCCAATGTCTACAGTAAGCCATACCTCTTTATGTTTTTTACTCTGCACATGTGCATTCCACAGGAGGTCACTCTTGACAGGAGCATTACATAAAACACAAAACAATTGACCTAAACTATTATATCTATCAAGCATTAAGGAAAAATGTAAGCCTATGCCTCTCAGGAGCATTTCCTTGTCAAACCAACTTGAACTACAAGAACAAACTACAAAAACAGCAGCTCTTCTGAGAAAGCAAAGTGCTAGCTTGCAATGGTTTACGAAGAATCGAAAATAAAGTAAGCAGTAAGCAAATAATCTATAGACTCTCCAAAAAAGTCTCATGCCTCTTTATGTTCCGAAACTTTGCCACAAGATTTTGTCCTTTTCTCCAAAGAAAAAAAAAATTCGAAAAACAATTTACAATCACCTAATTTGGTTTTTTAAAAGGATATTTTGCTAATGGTGATTCGATTTTCTTTTTGTTTTTCTGCGATTCTCGCTCTTCTTTCAGACGACGAAAATCTACCTTCTTGGTCGCCATCTTGAAATTTGATTAGTTACCAGTCTCGGCGCAATGTTTGTTTTTGCGGAGACTCCGCGGAGAGCATAGCGCGGGAAAATTAACAATAAAAAAAATAAATAAATAACGTATCAGCAGATTAAAAAAAAAATTTCCCCTAATTTTCTAAGGTAATTATRAATATCAAAGGCTATAAGAATAATAAACATAAGTTTTCTTTTCGCTAAATAAACAAAAATTTACTCAAACGTTTTWAAAAATTCTTGGTTGGGCTTTCTGTGTGTTTTTACTTGGATTTATCGGATGGGCGGGAAAATTTACGCGCAAAATAAGAATATTTGCGTCATATATTTTTTCTAGCCTGAAAAAGTATTACCAGGCCAAAATTTGAAACTTTGATYCACCTTTAGAATTTCTTTAGGTAAAAAACTTCGAAACTATTTTATGAGACTTGTTTGGGATTCCTGTGTGCTTCCTGTTGGCTCRTAAGCAAACAAATTAAACATGAACGATGAAGAAGATGATGAGGAGAAAGAATTCCTCAAAACTTACGCTCACAGCTATGGCTACGACGGAGCAATAGATGGAATGAGGAAAAGAGAGTTTGCACGTCTTGAAAGTATGGAAATGTTGTTTGGTTTTCTTAATCTTTTAGTCCAAAAACAGAAAATATTTACAAATATGCAGGATCCTTTGCTTATGTAATAAATTGTTCAATGAAACTTATTTGTATTAGGTAAGTTATAAGAGTCTTTAAAACGTACGACTTAGTATGTTTTTTTATTTCAGACGAAGTCTATCTTGATCATGTCGGTGCAACCCAATATCCACAAACTCTTCTGGATAAATACTACCAAGATCTTTCTTCTAACGTGTATGGGAACCCTCATAGCAAGAATCCTAGCAGTCAGTCGACCACAGAAGCTATTAATGAAATAAGAAATAAGATATTAAGGCACTTTAATACAAACAGTGATGAATATTCTGTAGTATTCACTGCTGGAGCTACTGCTTCTCTCAAGATCGTAGCAGAATGTTTTCACTGGAACAATGGAAATTCAGAGAAGCTTTCGAATTCTTCAAGTTTGTGTTTCTTACAAAATTGTCACACATCAGTGATTGGGATCAGAGAAGTTGCTTTAAGTAGTGGTGCAAAAGTGGTTTGCATTAAGGATGAAGATCTCCTTCAATCACAAAAAGGACAACCAAATAGTCCATTCAAAAAYACTTATGCAAATTTAATTCAAAATTTTGATACTTCAACTTCTCAATGTTTTGTGGATGGAACTGAARAAACAATGGAATGTTGTTGCCCCAACCTTTTTGTTTTCCCAGCAATGTGTAATTTCTCAGGTAGGAAATATCCTTTAAAATGGATAGCGTCTCTTCAGAATGGTACACTTGATACCAAAGTTCAACAGTTGATAGGCTGTCGTGATAAGTGGTATGTAATGCTGGATGCTGCTTCCTTTGTGAGTACGTCTCACCTAGACTTAAAGAGATATAAGCCAGACTTTATTTCTGTGTCATTCTATAAGGTATTTGGTTTCCCAACTGGTCTTGGGGCCTTGCTGGTGAGGAACAAGAGTGCCGATGTGTTGAAGAGGAAGTATTATGGTGGTGGAACTGTCCTGGCAACCATAAGCAGTGAGAGGTTTCATGTTTTGAAGCCAACTATATCTGACAGGTACCTGGTACAAAATGATATATCTATAAAAAATGAAAAAAATAACTGAAGGAGGGAAGTTTGTCTGTTTTCAAAGCAAGGACTGGGACTGAGGTTTGAAGAAATGAACCAATAAAAAATAATTAAAAGAATGAATAAAAGAAGATGATGATGGTTGTGGTGGTGGTGATGATGGTGATTGATGATGGTTGTGGTGGTGGTGATGATGGTTGTGGTGGTGGTGATACTTGCGTTGGTGATGAATATTGTGGGTGTGATGGTGATGAGGATGTGATAACTACAGTATGATGATGGTGATGATGATAATCTATGTAGATCAAATGTGTTTACCACTGCTGGGTGGATGGCATAATATACCTCACAGGATGCAAGTGATAAAGATAGATCAAATTAGAATTTTTAAAAGCTGATTTTTGTTGAGGAAGGAAAAACTGGAGAACATGAAGGAAAAAATCCTTGAAGCTGCACAGGAGAGAATTACCAACAAACAACTCATCTCACATACGACACTGAGCCTGCCAGGGGCCAAACCCAGGTCGCATTAGCAGCGCAAGGCATATGCTTCCCATAATGATGATGATAATATGATATTTTTTTTCTATTTACCAGATTTGAAGATGGAACAGTTGCATTCCTGGACATTATAGCTTTAGGACATGCTTTTGATTGCTTGTATCAGCTGACAGGAAGTATGCAGGCTATTTGTGAACATACTTTCACCCTTGCACAATTTGTCTACAAGAAGATGGAGGCCATGACACATGGGAATGGAAAAAAAGTGTGCAAGCTATATTGTGGTACTGACTTCARTGATCAAGATACACAAGGGCCTGTAATCAATTTTAATCTGTTAAGATCCAATGGAAGTATGATAGGATATGGAGAGGTAAGTTTACTGGAGTGTGGTAATTTAAGTTGCAACAAGACCTCAAGACCAGTGTTTGTGGTTATAGATTTTTTGATGACAGGATAGTCGCATTGTTATCATTGATATCAGGTGTCAGTAAGGTTTTTGATTATGCTGTCAGCAGAGTGTCTGGTATAAAGTTGTTGATATTATGTCATTGAAAGTTATCCATCACTGTAGCTAGGGTGTCAGGGGTACGTTGYTGATCGTAGGGTGATAGTAGGTTATTGGTAATAGAATGTAGGTGTGGTTCCAAGTGTTTTAGAGCAATAGTCATTTTGATCCAGGTCGATTCCAAGCACATTTTAAAAAGATCATTTTTATCCAAGWCAGCTAGATCCACTATCTATACCTATTTGATGCACTTATAAATGGCTTCRGTACAATTTTATTACTTTATTATTAGATGTGATTGATACACTCATTGGAACTTTACTCACTTTTAGCTTTTATTATACYTTATTTTACTATTTTTTTGTAACAAGCAGGCATAGGAAGACAGATAATAAGATATGGCACCCCTTGTATTTCCAACTCTAGTCAAAATAACTAGAAACTTCTCTGTGGTTTTAGGTCGACAAGTTTGCATGTCTGTTCAACATCCACCTGAGAACAGGCTCCTTCTGCAATACTGGTGCAAGCCAACAGCACTTAGGATTATCTAATGCACAACTCAAGAATAATTATGCAGCTGGTCATGTGTGTGGAGACAATGTGGACCTCATTGATGGATTTCCAACTGGTTCGGTCAGAATTTCTTTTGGATATATGTCAACATTTTCCGATGCACAGAGATTTCTCAAGTTTGTCAGAGATTGTTTCGTTGAGAAGGAAGCTGCAATTCCTTCTAGTTGTCAGGATATTATAAATTTATCTGAACCAAACACTTTTAATAAATCACCCAAAAAGGAAAAAAAGGAAACACTTTCATTAGAAGGAGGTGGCACTGTTGTTGAAAATAGGACTGAAGTACGCAACAAAAAGCAGGATTTGCAAACTACTAATGGTGGATGCCTTAGTCTCACTCTACTAAAAATATGCATTTTTCCTATAAAATCATGTGGAGCTTTTGAGGTAAGTAGTTGAATAACCTGGCCATTTACTAAAAAGGCTCACTGGTAATAGGAAAATTAAAAAGATTAATAATCTGCATAAATTAGAGAAAAAAAGATGTCTTTTCTGAATTTAAAACTTATTACACTTAAATTTGCCGTTATCTCAGAAAGGTTTTTGTGCTGTGTTTCAGTCTCCAATTGGTATTCCCTAGCTCTCTATTTTATATCRAAGGTTGACTTTATACCATACTGTATGATGTTATCTTTAGGTTTCCAAGTGGGAAGTAGGAGAAAGAGGACTGAAATACGATCGGCAGTGGATGATCATTAATGAGACAAAGATCTGTTTAAGCCAGAAGAGAGAATCAAAGTTATGCTTGATACAGCCTTCAATTGATCTGGAAAAAGAGATGCTAATTATGGATGCTCCAGGTTGGTTGCTTAAAGGATRTTATACATCTCATTGAAGGGCCCATGGAGATAGGATTCAGAGAGAGGTTTCAGAGAGAGGAGCTGGGGATTTCTATTAGCCATTCCAAGGGTGAAAAAAATAGGGTTGARCTGGCAATGCATTGTGGGACTGTTTTAGGGGACGTATTTACAAGATGGCATCTACTTTGTCCCCTAGAACATTCCCACAATGAACTGCATTGCCGACTCAACCAAGTTTTTTCCTCAACCTTGAAATGGCTATTAGCCTCTCCATAAACTTTATTGCTAATACAGTACGTACCATATTCACTATAAGTCTCATTTCTCCCACTTTTAGTCTTTTATGTCTACTAGTCTACTATATTTTTATATCTCAGCACTGCCAACTTTTCAATGGTTCTCAGCAATCAATGTATAGATTMTGAGCAACTGTCATGAATCACTCTATCTTAAAAATAATAAAGAAGTAGTCCATCAACACTGATTTACTTGATTCAGTAACATGGAATATTCGGAACCTATCAGATTCATGGAAGCCAAAAATCCAGATGGAAATAGAAACTTGATTCTTATTCTTTTCTATTCTGTTTTATCACAGATATGCCATCACTTCATGTAAGACTTGATTTRAACATACATGAGGTGAACAGCTACAAGGTCAAGATTGGTATGGAATGGTATGTAGAATTTCAAGGGCCATAAGTTATGTAATTGAGAAGTTAATTAYGTTACCCTTGTAACATAAAGATTTGAATAAATAATATGTACTTATTGACTGAGTGGGAGGGTGTACGGGAAAATATTTGRCTCGAGGTCATGTCGTACAAATGACCGAGAGCCAAATATTTTCCCGTACGGCCCGACCTAACTCAGTCAATAAGCATTTTATCATATGACCCTCACGAAAATAAAAATGATTAAGAAAAAGAAAGTGCTCGGATTCGAGCAGGGCCGGATGGGTTTTTCCGGCCCGCTTACGTCAACCCGTCCGGCCCCCATCACGTGACTTTTTCCAATGGTTTTATTAGAGTGCGCGAGCAGCGCCGTACGGGTCATATGATAAATAAATAAACTGTAAACCAAATAAATCTATTTGATATGATTTCCACAAGTGTGTTAATTTTTCTAATTTTTTCCTGGTCTATAGAGGCTTAACCATCACGTGACCTCATGATGTTAGATGGCAGGAACAATACCTGATTTTTTTTACWTGAGAATGAACTCAATTCCCATGAGCATAGGGATTTTATTGTTCTGCCATCTAACTACAGCCATTCCAAGCTGTATTATATGTGCTGCCATGTGATGGTGCAAAGCCTCTATTCCTTTAACTGTTCTAGATATTGGGCTTCCTGTGGGCACCACCACAGGGTACCCAACTGTCTGGGTTCATCTTTCAAAAGAGCCATAAATGACATCAAAATATTGGTCATTGTCACATTTACAGTATAGATAGCTGATAATGTGTTTAATATATTTCCAAATTGAATACTTGTAATTATTCCTTCCAGGCTGAAAGAGGTTCTAGATTGTGGTGAGGAGGCTGCCAACTGGCTAACATCTTTTCTTGGTAAAAAATGTAGACTRGTCCAACAAAACCCTGAAGACACTAGACAATCTAAACTTAAACAACAAGGTTAGTCATGCAGAAATATGCTATAAAAATGCTGTATGGTTAGAGCATTAGAACTATTAACACTTGCTCATATATGTATTTTTTTATGGTTTGATGGTTTGATTTTTTTATATGTTTGATTGGATAGTAATAAGAGCAGGGGTGGTTTTACAGTGTGACGCACCTAACTGTGGCCATCTAACTTATTTATTTACTAGTTAACCAAACAGGCTGTGAGAATTTGTGCATTTTGCAGGTAATATCACTCAGYGTGATTGCAAATATTTAAAAGTATTTCATACTTTGCAACAAAAACTTAGATAAATGGCTAGAAATTTGCCTAGGTTATACCTACATGTATTTTGGTCCCTTTGCTAGCTAACACTAGACACTTTAATGAAGAGTCTTTTTATTGATGAAAAAACTTGGCAGAAAAAGATTCAACAGCATTGGTAAAAAATAAGTTGGGAGGCCATGGTTAGGTGCGTCAACCCTAACCATTATGCAATTATAGTAATGGGCTTTCTTTGATGACTTTTTCAGGCTGCAAGGAAGTGGCTAGTCCATCTTCTCTTTCTCTAGCCAATGTTTCTCAATACCTTCTAATCAGTAAAGCAAGTATAACTAAACTTCATCAGCATATTGTGGAGTCATCAGAAAAGGTGTGTAATTTTCAAGAATTAATAAAAGATTACATATGTAAATGTCCGAAAACAATGCCACGATATGATTCTTAGGACTAATTCAAGTGGTAACTTCCAATCCAGGACCCAGATAGTAATATCCGGTTATCTTGAACTTTTGAYATAAAAAAATTCTATTGCCACTGTCAAAACTTTAATATGGATTTTTGACTTTCATTAGATTTCTGCCAATGATAGCATTGATGACCTAGTAAGCAGGTTTAGAGGTAACCTTATCATTGATGGTTTGAAGGCTTTYGAAGAGGATAGCTGGAAAGAAATCCAAATTGGCCAGCACTTCTTTCAGGTGATACTTCTATCAATCCATCTATGCATATGTCCGTCTGTATGTCCACTTGTCTGTCTGTCTGTCCATCTGTCTGTCCCTCTGTCCATTTGTCTGTCCGTCTGTCTGACCGTCCATCCATCCATCCATCCATCCATCCATCCACCCATACATCCATCCATCCATTTTTGTTTTGTTGAAATTGTCCCTCCTTCTCTCCCTCCCCCCATCCATCCATCCATCCATTTTTGTTGAAATTGTCCCTCCCTTCCTCCCCCCATCTATCAATCCCATCTATCCATCCCATCCCACTCCATCTATTAATCCATTCAGCCATTGACATTTTTGCCCAAAATAATTTATTTTATCTCTTATTATTTAGTTTCAAGGACTTTGTTCTCGATGTCAGATGATATGTTTGAATCAAAAAACCGCAGAAAGAACTGCCGAGCCTCTCAAGTCACTTGGAGTTGTTAGACAGACTAAGGTAACACTTTGCCCTAACAAAATTTGCCTTTTTTATAATTCAGAAACTTTATTTTTATATAGAAAATTAGAAATCAGTACCTTGCTTGCAGAGGTCTTTCTTGTACATGTCTAATATCTCATCCAGAATTTAATCTGTACAAGTTAATTTGCAAAGAGGTTAATATGATTCTTATACTAGGTCATTAAGAATTTAAATAAAGTGTAGTGATTTCATTTTTGTTTTATTATCATAACAGATGGGTACATTCGGGATTGGATTGCAGCATTCAGTGTTGGAATGTGAACCGTGTCAAGGTGGTAACCAATGGATACAAGTTGGTGATCCTGTATTTATTGAGTATTGAATATGTGACAATGTACAAGAATATTTTAGAATTGTAGTTTTAAYTTGAAATTTTTAATAATTGAATACAGAACTTTTTATTAATTTCCATAATCATTTGACAATAATCTCAATAAATTATAAATCAACACTATACTGAAGATTGTGCTGAAAAAACTTGATTTGGGCTTCCTGTGGAGTTTCCTTACATAATTAAGTTTATAAATTTTGTGAAATAATGTAGGAAAACAAAGTCATTGGAGATTTCTGTCATTCATAGGATTTTAAGAGACCGAGGAAAAAATAATCTTAAAAATTGAGGGGAAAAAAAGGCCCCGACGGGATTCGAACCCGTGATCTTTGGTTTACGAGACCAACGCCTTACCACTTGGCCACAAGGCCCACTGACAATAAAACATGGCAGAAAAATCGTATTTATAACCTTGCTATACCAACTGCTTGCCGGGAGACCCACATATACGTAGAAAAAACGGCTTATTCAGGAAGCAATCATCTTTAGAGGTAGAACTAAAAGATATGTTKTAAAATTTCACATATGTACATGATGCATAATATTACCTTTTTACAGMAATCGGTTTGGATTCGTCACGATCACTTTGTTTCAGTCAATCACATCGCGTCTAGAACAATTTTAATATTTAAAGTTTTTAACTTTTAAATCAGCATTACATGTAAATTTAAGCTCGATTAAAGAAATTATATCAAGGAAAAATGGTCGGTCCTCACTTTCTTGGTTGGTTCTAGAAAGTGGTTATTTAAATTTCTAAAATTCTCTCCCGTGGAAGTCGTCATCTATCATTCCCCGAACCATTTTCGCTCGTTACTGACGCATTTTCGGAAAAAGAAGTTATTCTTTCTTTGCAGTTGTATGAAAACTTCATATTATTGCTTTTTTTCCAGTAACGATTAAGGGTGCTATTGAAATATTTTTGATATTTGATATTTATATTTAAAATAAAAGGCAAGTGTTTGCATTGAAATTCAAAACCAGGTCTTGAAGGTCAATGCAAACCTTAGAAAACCAACCAAGCCCAGCTCTTTCTAATGTTTAACGTAGGGTTTGAGTTTTGATCGAAAACCTGTCCCTGTCCTCGTTCTCCCTTGTTAATATCAATGCTGAATTTAAAACCCGACATCAAACAATAGAAATAGGGCGTGGTTGTCTTTTAAAGTCTAAAAGTCTGTAGTTTGTGGAGTTCACTGAAAAAAATGTTGTTTGAGTGGGGGGCTACCCAAAAATTATTTCAGAATAGAAAATCCCTGCTCCCTTATTGAGGGAATATGATGTCGTTTTCTGCAATAATTACTGCGGTTTTCCACATTTCTTCAAACTTGATAGTTATGAGCTGCTCCCTGAAATTTTGTTTTTTGCTGCCRTCAATCAAAAAGAATGCCCGAGTTCACAGAATATGGAAAATCACAGTGAAAAAAAGCTAAACAAAGCCATACCAAGTGCCCCGTCCTGCTATGGTTAGCCTGCCAGGTGTTCTTCATGATGGATTGGGGTGGAGAGAGGAAGAGAGAGGGAATGGCCCCAATCTCCCACGAAGAAGGCCTGGCTACGCAGGCTAGGTATGGTTAGCCAGCTATAACCTTCCAACAGGTTGAAGCTCTTTGATGCATAGGGTCATAAAATTAACTTGTTGACTGTCTTTTGACTGACAAACAGGCTCCCGTTTAGCTGATACTGTTTGCTGATTATTGGTAGATGGATGGTCAAGGGTTTTATTGAAGATGATTGACTCCTGTTCCCTGGTCATAAATTACACTTCTTTTAAAAAATACTAAAAAAATACACGATCAATTTCTTTCATATTGTTTATTTTTCTGACATACTACAGTGAGTATAATATTCTATGTTAAATTTCTATTTACAAGACTTTGTCTTGGGTTTAAAGTGCACAGACAGTATTGTTAAACCAGTACTTAAGCAATATTTTAATTGTGAGGGGATTTTAAAATTTTCTATTTCCTACTGGTATTTTGCATTATTAATTAATTGATGGGGGACAGGGTTGGGTCGACTTGGCATGGTATAACCTTGAGTGGCTAATACTAAATATCTTATCATTTAAAAGAAACATGGAGCTTGAAGGCCAATATATGTTATTGTGTATTTTCATTTTCCTCTGAGCTTTCTTTGTTCTCCTCTTGATCTGTGTCGATGGGTGCCTTTCCATCTTGTCTCAGTCTAGAGAATATTATAAAATACCTGTTATAGACTTTGCRTTCTGTTTGGTTGGGAGCACATGCTCCATGAGAGTGCACAGCACACTCACTGACGGTGAGCTTTATAATTGCACAGTACAGCGATGTGCATGCGTTCCTTTATTTCTTCAATAAAACATGCAAGCAGGGTGGATCCTAGATTTTAGCTGTTTGTATGTTTCTACCAACCCAAAGGCTTGCACACATCGTTTTTTTGGGCTTTCAACATTCATAAACTTTATTACAAACTCAGTTTATAATTTTGCAAATTTAAAAACCTGAAGCCAACACACCAAAAAAAAACAAAAACAAAACAAAACAAAAAAAAMCCAGAATAATTGCTTCTGACATCATCTGGGTTGCAGAAACATGAAAAATGCAATTAACAAACCTATTCCCTGCATTCAATACCATTAACATTTTATAGTGGAAAAGGGTCTCGGATGAAGGAAGGGAGGAGATTGCATGGGAGGGGAGGGGAGATGCACGTTTTCATGTACTTGTTTTCAACTGGTTGCCTGACCACAGCTTATAAATAAACTCATTACTTAATCATGAACCTATTATATTAAGGATGCTAAACAAAATAATAATTAGAAGTTCATCAATACCTACCGAGCATTAATGAGGAACTGAGCAAAGCTTACAGCCTCTGCTGTCCCTTTGATCAGCACCTCTCGCTTGTCTGCTCCACTCTCGCTGTCACCAATCTTTATGCTCGCTCCAGACATGTGTCTGGAAAAAGACAAGTTTTAATTAATCACTGCAATGTCATCATCATGATTTGATTTCTCAGGGGGTAGTCAGTCTACAGTAATCTCTTTAAATTATCCATCTCTCTCCTCTTCCCCACAAAACACAGTGTCAGACTCGATACTAAAATATTCTTTAGTATTAAGAATACCACATGGTAAGGTAAGGTAAGTAATGAGGTAAGAGATGTATGTAAAATGAGAGTCTCAGTGGTGAATATTTCAGACACAATCTTGCCTAACAGAGAACTTGAAACTGGAGTATCATACTACAATAGCCAAGTTCCAAAATATGCTTCGCTTGTCATGCACAAAGGATTCAATGTGAGGCTTCGTGCATAATACTCAGTGTTTCAGGACAGGAGAAAAGAATAAATTTAACTTAGCACATAGCCTCATACCGAAACCTTTGTGCATAATAAGCATAGCATATCTTGGAAGTGGGTTATTGGGAAAGGGGATTGTAAGCTTCCTTTGGACCCTCTGGCACACTATGTAGAGACATGACTTAACTCTTATACTTTCCAAGCATACCTTATACTAGTTATATAACTTCCTTTCTGGCCAATGATACTTCCAACAGCCTGAAATGTTCAAGCATTTGGATAGTTAGTCAAACCTTATGTTGAAATGTATTCAAGTATCCCAAGTGACTCAGATAGATTCAAAGATGGGAATGGTTAGAAGGTAAGAATGAACACAGAATATTCAGCTTACCCCTTTTGGTATTGTCATTGTAAGAGATGTAGTGGGGCCTTTTCCATATCCAGCCTGGTTCATGGTGACACCACCACCACCACCACCACCCCTCCCTCCTCGTCTTGCACCTGCAACATAAGGAACTCAAATATTATGATAACGTACAAAACTAGTAAATTATAGAAGAGAGGGATGCGATAAAGGGTTCTTAGGTCCAGTTCATGCTATGAACTTTTACTGCATTGAATCAGACTAAGGTTCAGTTCACTGAAATCCATTAAATTCAACAATAGAAATCATGACCATGAAGGAGGTTTTATATCTGATATAGATTCGTCTTCATTTGCATAAACTTTAACTTGGATTTTCTCTATCAAACTTGGTTCATTTCGTAAAGAATTCGGTACAGTATGAGAACATACATCAGGAGTTTTTTAAGCCGTTTAATAAACTCGCAGATCGTGTTTTATCGGGTCTAAAACCACTTGGCTGCGCCTCGTGTTTTATACCCGATAAAACACTCCTGCTCGTTTATAAACAGTACATAGTCACTGTAATATTGAGTCTTTATAATTATTTAATTAGTTTAATGGATTTCAGTTGTCCTCAAAGGCAATTAAAATCCATATGGCAAAAGTTTGACGTCTGAGCTTGACCTTAGTTTTGGCATTTTTCTTTGTTTCTTTGGTGGGCTACCTGTGGTTTGCAGGTTAAAGGGACTGAGGGAGACATAGGGATCCCAAACACCAAAGATAGTAATCTGCTACAAAGGAGACTAAAGGGTCTAAACAAAGTACTCACCACCAAAGCCTCCTCTTCCAGGGATAAAACCATTATGAAAAATGGGCRGCATACCAAACTGGCCTGGGTAACCTCCATATGGCTGATGAATGACAAGATAAAACAATATCAAAAAATCTTATTCTTATTGAATTATTTGAGGTAACTGCTCTTTTCATTTCTGGTGTTTGCTTTGACATGTACAAACTTGTATGTTTAAAGCAGGTGGGGTCATGTCATCCTCGGGAAGCCATGGGTGAAGTTCTGTTGCTCGTTTCTCACTACCAGAGAGAAGCGAGAAATGAGCGACAGAACTTTACCCCTAGGTTCCCGAGGATGGGGTCATGTGATCTGTAACTGCAAGTCATTCATTGTGCAAAAAAAAAAGCCCTGATCTTCTTTGTTACATCACCGTGGCAATGTTGTTGGTGTGCAACAAAAGATTTCTCATTAGCTTCTTTTGTTAATCCCACCAACAGGGTTGCCATGTCTTTGTATTTTGACTCACTTGGTAATGATGTCAAACCATCAATCATCATGTTCTTTGGTTCTCTCCTGTACTTGGAGGTTTTTTTCTCTCTTTGCAAAAATACTTTACTAAATTCTAATTCCATCTTAGAAGATATTCTTCTCATACTCATTAATAATTCATGAGTAAACCAGCCAATAAATGGGCTATTTTTGGGTCACATGATGTTACTTGAAACCTGGTAAAGTGCTGTGAAAGGAATGCATTCAGTCCTAGGACTGAATTAATTTTGTTCCAGTTACTCCGAGTCGAATAATTAATGAGATGAGAAGTCATTTCAAAGCCTCCAATATCGGACTGGACGGGATTTCAAGTCTGTGCAATAATTTAGTTCCAGTCCTCGGCTGCGCCTTGCACTGGAACTAATTGCTTTGACTTGAAATCCCGTCCAGTCCTCATTGTTGGCTTTGAAATATTACTTGATAGTGTTAACCTCTGTTTTTGTTATGATACTGCTGATGTACCAACAGTACACGGGACTAACTTACCTGGGCAGGTCCATAATAACCGAACTGGTGATCTGGTTTCTGTGGTGTGTATGGCACCGTGTGTCCTTTGGGTGGAAACTAAGGCACAAAAATAATGATAAGCCTGCATCAAAACCCTTGATCATAATATAGGTAATGAAGGTATCAAAGTTGGTAGAGCCAAAAGAGAAATACTATTCCATTTATTGCTCTATTAATAACACTTTTTTATTAAGTATTTAAATAAATTATTTACTGTGGCTGCGAGCTGCAAGCTGAAATTAGTTTTTTGCTGCCATCAATCAAAGATAATCAGTCAGTACCTTTTATATTTTGACTGGCGGCAGTAAAAACCAACTTCACAATAAGCTGTTGAAATGTCTGAGTTTGCAGAATATCCAAAACCACAGTAAAACATGTCAACTTAAATATTATATCCAGCTTCTGACCCCCTCCCCCCATGAAGGAATTTTTACCCCTTACCTCCAGAAATCCCAATTTTCTTCTATACAAAGTCTTTATTTTGTTCTTTCTCTGACCTCCCAACCCTCCCCCCTTGGAAATTCCAAATTCCTCTGTGAGGGGTATGGATAATTTCTGTACCTACACAATTAAATTATTATAGTCATGAGTAACTTACCTCTAACATGACTGAACAGAGGTGATCAATGCAAATAGCAAGGGCTTCTGGCGTTCCTATAAAATGAATTATCAAGGACATTAGAATTATGATGAATTTAAGATAATACACTCATTTATTATTAACAAAATATACTGTAGTACCACACAGGAAATAGCTATTCCAATGGTAATCATGTATTTTATGACCACTGAGGCACTCATCATGTAAAATGTTGGCCGCCCCTCTATTGTCTGATCACGGAAGCAATCCCAATCACAGAAGCCAGGTGGTGTAGTGGTGAGAGTGCTCACCTCTCACCAATGTGACCTGGGTTCAAGTCCAGCCAGCCTCGGTGTTGTGTGTGTGAGTCCCAAAGTTGATTGTTGGTTCTCTCCTGTTCTTCGAGGGTTTTTTCTCCAGGTTCTCCAGTTTTTTCTCCCTCAACAAAAATCAACTTCGAAATTCTAATTCTATTTATTGGTACCCTTATCAAGTGGGTTGCAAAACCTGTTAGACTTTCCTGTTTACCTTGGAGCGGCCAGTAAATTCAATTAAATTAGATATTGGGCAATGGATGGCCAACAAATGACTGACTGTTGAATGATGATCAGCCAACAGTCAGTGAAGTATCAAGTGAAAAGTGTTCAGTTTATAACCATAAAGTACACCTATGCATCTAGCAGTGGTCTATGTGGCCAGATACATACCTGACAACGTCACAGCCCTCTCAGAAGATCCAGGAAGAAATTCACCAGCCACCTGATGGCCAAAAAAACAGTGATTATTACACAAAAGCATAAATAGTGAATAATACTGCCACTCAGTAAGCTCAGTTGGTAAGAGCGTTGGTCTGTTGTGCAGGAGGTCGTGGTTCAAGCCTCGGCCGAAACAACACTCAGGGTCTTAAAATAACTTAGCAGAAGGTGCTGCCTTTGTCATTACATCTGCAAATGGTTAGACCTCCATGTGGTTCAGATGACCACATTAAGGGCAGTCCTGTCCCTAATTAACTAGAGACATTAAAAGAGGACCACGAGTTTATCAGTCGAATTACTGTCAAGTGTTATCCTCTATAAACAAAGTTAATTATTATTATGGTTATTTTGATTACTATTATTATTATTATCATTATCATTATTATTGTTATTATCATTATCATTATTATGCTATAGCATGAATAATAGAATACAATATGATTTAAATACAGTACCTACCACAACTGAAGCACCAGACACCTGAGGAAAAATAAAAAATGAAAATTGAGACTGGCAAGTAAATGTCAGACATGTACTTACTTCTTAGGTTTTGTGGAAGAAGGGAAACCAGAAACCCCAGAAAAAAGAAAACCTTCTTGAATCAAGAGAGAGAACTAATAAACTCTGCTCACTACTGACCATATATTGTGGTTAGGCTACCCAGTGAGTGCACTCAACATTATTAGGATCCCAAGCATTGTTTTCAGGGGAATCAACATTTGAATAGCCCTTGCATGACTTGAAATTTTYGCTTGTTTCAACTTGTGATGTTGAGAAATATCATAATGTGCAACCTTTTAATACAGTCATACTATATCATCCAATATTTGCACTCAGCTATAAGGGTTTTGAGCATTAGTAGACCCCTTGCATTGATTTTCTAGAGAAAATATTGTTCTGGGGCACAAAACAATAGGCCTTGTTCCCCCAGAACAATTCCTCTCGAGACTCAGTGCGAAGGTTCTGTGTATATATTGTTTACCTCTCTGATGTCTTGGATTTTTGTACCTCCTTTCCCAATAATAGAACCACACTGGCTGCCAGGCACAATGAGTCTCAAGGTGACAGGAGGTGTAAGGTTACTCTTGGAATTGCTTATAAGCTCCTGAAATAAACAAATGACATTAGAAAATAATAAACTGCTTTAATAATAGCCAACRACTAATTTAAACAGCATATGGCCAGAGTTTTCAGTAAAAGCCGGCAGCCAAATCTCACCAGGTATTTTACATGAAGTTGCTGCCGATTTTGCCGATTCAAGTTCACCAAAATTTAGGTCAAAATATGTAGGAAAGATTCAATGGCTGCTCCCTGCCTATTCATTTTATTTTGTCACTTACTCAAGCTGGAATTGAAAACCCTGATGGACATGGCCCTTATTCCATGATAGGGGAAGCATAGGAGGTGAAACGGTAAAAGAGCTTGACTCTCACCAATGCAACCCAGGTTTGGACATGGTGTCATATTTAAGTAAAGTTGAATGTTTTTTTCTCTCCTGTTCTTTGAGGTAGAGAGGCAAAACATTAGCAGCGTACTACCATGCTTTCCATATTGGGGATGTTTGACATGCTGGGTCTTATAGTCACAACAAAAACTAGAATTTTTATTTCACACATAAATTCTGCTATAGTTACCTCTTCTAGCTTCTTGCTTATCAGTGAGAATGCAGTCACAACAGCATCTTTACTTCCAGTGACAGAGACAATTCTAAATAGCAATAACAATGATTTAGATAATTATAAAGCTTTACATAAGGACATATTGTAAAATTATTTTTTAAAAACACAATTCAGTAAAAGAGAGTGCATGAGAATGAATCAAACAGAGTTTCTAACTACATGCAACATTGTTAAACAAATTTGAATAATAGAAATTTTAAAAATGTAGGTAGTGGGAAAGATGACAGCAACAGATCCCATATACAGGGGGATTTTCTATTTGAAATTGCCTGTCATTCCCTTAGTAAGATTTCTGTTTTCCAGCAATATGCTCAATGATATTGTAATAAAGTTTTGTAATCGATTTTTGTAATCCTGAAGAGAATAACGCACGGTTTGAAATGGAAAAACCACAATGCCCAAACATTTCATAAGTTCCATATTTCTAGGTACACAGGCATAAATAAGTATTTGGCAAAATGTACTTCACATCTTCAAATACTACTGATATTTTAATTTTTTACTATCTGAATAGTTGTCTTATCCAATAACACATGCACATTCAAAATCTTTATGCATTCTTTGGTATTAATTTTATTTGAATTCCAATGACAGTGTCTGTCATGTCTCATAATTAAAGCAAATAATTGGAACAATCTTTAGTATCTAATATACACACCGACAGGGTTCTCAACAAAATATTCAGGTATTTCAAGAGTTATATTAACTATCAAACAGGTGTATGTCAAGGTCCAGTTTAGTATTTAACTATAGTTTTAAAATTAAAAACCAGAGCAGCAAAGACAACTGCTGTGTTAAAAGCAGGTGGATTATATATTATAAGACAGTTTCTAAGTGAACTATATAGAATTATTTTACATTTCAAGGAAAGATTTCACGAGGTATTGTGCACAAACAATCATTAACCAAGCATATTTAAGCTATTTTTTGGGTAACTATAAGGAAAGTTGTACATAATGTTGTACATCATATTATTTAGTACAGAAAAATATTGTCATAGTAGTATATAGGCCTTTTTATCTTCATTCTTCTCTTAATTTACCAATATTATTGAATCAGTATTTCTTTTTATCATTATTTTGATGTAAAGCACTTTAGAATATGTTTATAATGTAAGCACCATATAAGTTAGAAATTTACTATTGTTATCATTTATCATTATTATCATATTTAGAGAGTTTTAAAAATGATCAAAAAAGCTGTTCATTTAAGATTTCTAGAGAATAACTCTGATATACATCCTTGCCGCTGGATTAGTCTCCCTAGCCCATAGTTCCCTTCAGTGAATATGACCAGGAGAGGTGTGGAAATTTCTTGGACTACACGTCAATATTCCTAGTAATGATTGATAATGTTATCTCTATCGAGTAAACCAAGAATCAGTAAAATCAAGCAATTTCTTCTAGAATTAGACACATTTGTGAAAATGTACAATGTCGTGAATCATAATTATTTTGCACTAAATAGTACAAAATCAAAAGTTGTATTTTTTTAGTGGTCCTTTTTAGCATTAATTAATAGGTGCTACTAGTACTTGCATAGCACTGTTTCATGAAACACAGTATTTGCACCTTAACGCCCTTCTTGCATAATGGTTGACCATAATAGGTTATCATATTACACAACTAGACACAGAGCTTTAATTCTATTATCAAATTTACCAACCTTTCTGGAGTGGAACCATCAGAGATATTGATGTGTGCACTACTCTAAAAATCATAATTGAAAGAGTAACGATTTATTTGTTTTCTAAATATATTGATTTTAGCATAATATATTCAGTGAAATACATAATAATATCCAGATGGGTAAAGAGAGAGTATAATTTTATACTGTCTGGAGGCTAGAGAAAGGTTAAAAACAATATATGTCGGATAACAATGCTGGGTAATTGTTCAGTATTACCTCTTCTCTGAAATTTTTCACAGTGGCTCCACCCTAAAGGAAAATTAAAAAACTCTCAGACATGATTAGATACATGTTATTTGTATGCAGAATAGAAAGAGGTATAAAACTCATTTATGTCAATCACATTGTCTCCCACAATGTAAATTATAGACATAGCTTATTTTAATGATAACTAGATAATGTCTGTACCTTGCCAATTATGCTACCAATGTCCTGTTAAAAAAAATTATAATGGAATGTGTAAATTAATGGTCCTTATGATATAGCTAAATTACCCAAAATAAGTAGCAAATTCTAAGAAAATTTGACAATCTAACAAGCTATTCTAATCTTTTTTTWAAAAAAAAACTGCATAAAGTTTGCTAACCTTTCCTTGCATTATCATCTTGACAACAAGGTTTGTAGAAGGGTTGCGGCTTTTTAGAGGACGGCTTTCTGTCCTTGGAGAAGTTTCTTCCTCATTGGAACTCATGATGGCATTCAAAACTAATACATGAAATTAAACAAGGAATTCATTAATAACTGAAAGACAAGAAAATTCATGTTCAATAAAGAAAATAATAATATTAAAGAAGATTTTATATAAAAAGGTGTTAGGATAAAGATTTCAAAATCATGTGGTGCATGTAAACTGTGTTAATATGTGGTCCAGAGTTAGTAATAATTTATACCATCTATTTATTGTGTTCTACGATGTGTAAGACAAAAGAATATTTAATAATGGGGGGTACATGGTTAACCCCAACAACCTCGAGCAAAAAAAAAACCTTCGAAAATCGTCAGTAATACTAGACTAGCTGAAACTTTTCTCGCTGAAAACAAAAATTCATATAAAAAATCGCTATCTTTTAGCAATGTAAGAAAGCTTTTGGCCTATGAATTCAATAATTATAAAGATCGTAAGCTAATAAAGATTAGTATTATTTCTACCGGCATTGAAAAAATACACGTATGTTCCAGACGTATTAAGATATTAGTTTGGAGAGAGAGAAGAAAATTTCGTATGCTTATCACAAGAACAGAACTTTATCTCTAAACCCAAAACTTAAAAAATAAACAACGGAAAGGATTTAATTAATAATGACAGGATGCGACCAAGGAAGACCTAGAGTTGCATAAAAATTACAGCCATAAATTAAAACACCGATAGGGTGAAAATGCCGGTCCGCAAGTCAAGTTATAGTCCCCGGGCGAAAACCAGACGATCTATGGATTAATTTTAACAAAAATAAATAAATTTATGCTAGGGATTTCAGTAAAATATGTTTGAGACTTCGAGATCCGTCGTTAATAGATGTGTTCCGTTGCGGATAAAATAAAGATTTTCCGATTCCAAACATTGCGCAATTTTTTCGTTCACCTCAAAACTATCAGTTTTTAGCGCGATCGACCGTCTATCATCGTACTACCATGTGTCGAACCAAAATAACAGTTTGCCTGTCCATTCAAATGACAAAAATCATTTAATATTTCAAGATCTAACACTATATTCCAGGTCAAACCGTTATTATTAACACATAGCACTTAACAACCTGTTAGGCATTCAACAGCCGGAAAATCACAAGGGATTCAAAATAAAGTCGATAGTGTTAAAGTTTCTTTTTGGGCGCATTTTCCCCTGCATCAATCAGTCTGATACAAAGCTTTACAGTTCAGGACAGTACATAAACATGTGTTTGCTCCAAACTCTGCATAAAGTACTTGCTATAATACGAAAACTATCGATAAAATAGAATTAAAAAGTGTAGTTTTGTTTAAAGTTGTGCACTAGTGATAATCTTACTTACCTATAAGATCAGGACCTTTTTTGGGAGACAAGAACAAAAATTCCACGCGGACGGAGAACCTAAAGTAATCGCCAGAAAGTTGATCAACAAATAAGGAGGGAGAAATGAAGCCAGGGAGGAAATAAAAATAGGAAAAGAGGGCTGGAAGGTAAGGGAAAAGGCTCAAAGCCAAACTAAGTCGATAATCAAGTCGATCCGAAAAAATATTTTTCTGCAACGAGTGATAAACAACTTGCCACATGTCAAAAATCCTGATTGGTTAGAACCAACCACGTGTGAGACATAGGGTGACCAAACGATCAAAATGTGGGTGATATTCAATTAATAATTCATTAATTGTCTTTTTATTTTAATTTGTAAAAAAAATAACGGAAAGCCTCTTTGAAATGTTAAATTATCGAAAATCAGCGAGGGAAAATAAAATTATATTAAATGACATGTGGCCGAAGGAAAAGTACACTTGTCTCGGATTTCACGGTCAGGAGGTGACACAGGGTACCCAGTGTGGAATGATGCTGGTTGGCTGGTTTGCAAATGGCGGACAAGATTGAATCTTTTGAAGCAAATAATTCTGACAGGAGATTAACAAGTAAGTGTTATTCTGGTGTCGTTGGAGGTACAAGTTAGTGTTATGTTGCCATCTATAAATGTCAATGTACGACTTGTACATTGGTAAGACCAAAACTATATTATTAACGTCATGTCAAAAATTAAGCCAAAGTTACCTGTAGTTGTCCAAAGTTCAAAGGTTTCAGCGTACGCATGCTGCAAGCATTTAAAACTTTTAAATAGTTCCTGATAAAGTGCTAGCTAATTTTTTAGCTTATTTATTTTCGTAGTCTTCAAATAAATGTATGCTTAATTTTCTTTAATAGTTTCTTAGGTGGAGGRGGGTGGTTTAGGCAAGTAGTTTAGTGGTATAAATGCATGATAATTTATATAAAAAGGGGTAAAAACGAGCAAAATTTATTCAGCAATTCTGGAGGGGGATCAGATGTTGAGGAGGGATAAAAGGTCCACTTTCTAGGATACCTCCCGCAATGGTTGAGGGGACTGTTTACTGTGTCAGCGGCTTGCTGTGAAATTGGTTTTTCTCTGCTGCCAGTAAGAATATAAAAGGTACTGACTGAAACCAAATTTCTGCACGCAGCTTCAACTAATGAGTTTGTATAATACATTGAAAACAGCATGAAGGAAGAGGTCTACTGCCTAATCATAATTATTTGCATTTTCAGGATCTGCTGCTAAGAGTGCTAAAAAAGCAGTAAACTTACAAGTCAATCCAGAAAATGTCAAAGAAACAAAGAGAACAGTATCTACCAAAAGTATGGTTACATAATCCTTCAGGCCTGTTTATGGAAATGTTTGGCCAATTTGGCTAAGCCTCAAACCCCAATGTCCTTCTCCTGTTAGAAGTTTATGTTTGGTTTACTTTTGAAATTCTTACTAGAAACACCCAAGAAACCCTCCATATCAATTAAAAGAAGAATCCTGGAAAGGGATACTGATGAAGAAAGCAGCTACAGTGAGGCTGTAAGTGATGATGTAGTTCAAGATAGAGACTTTATTCCTGAGGAACTTTCTGACGATGAAGATGAGGAAGGCCATGATGATGGTGTTGATGATGATGATGATGATTATAGTGATGAAGAAAAAATGATAACACCATTAGGTAAGTTATAATATCCATAATAATTATGTTTTAATAGAAAACTTTCATATTTTGAAGTCCAAGAGTTAATATAGGCTTGATTTGGGGTTCATGAGGGGTAGTATAATGCACCAGTCTCTTACCTTTGGGGTCCTGATTCCTGGACTCAGCATTACATGTGAGTAGAATTTGTCAGATCTCTCCCTTGATTTTAGGGTTTTTTTGTGGTTCTTAAATGTTTTTCTTCCCACTACAAAACCTAACAAATTAAATTCCTTTATTATATGACCGTGAATCTTAGAGCCTGGACACTAGCAAATCAAGCAATCTGATTGGATAGATCGCATCGTGGACTGGTCTAGATTCTCTGGTATTAACCAGTCYGATTGCATATTAATCTTACGGCGAAAACATTTTGTCCTTTTCAATGAAAAGTGGTCATATAATAAAACTCTTATCAAYCGAGCTTGGTCRGTCTGTACGGGATAATCTTGACCTCAGTCGGGTACAGACCTCGCTGTGCTCGGGCTGTACATCTGACCTCAGTCAAGATTATCCTGTACAGACCTCCCGCTCGGTTAATAAGATCTAAATATTAACTAATAATTAATTAATAAATTAATGAATATTAATTGATAAATAATATTTGATGTTAATTAATATTACTCAAAAGTTAATAATAATTGTGCACTAACTAATTGTTTCATGGTTTGAGAAAATTTTAGTGATTCAAAAGGCAGAAAAGTACACTTTAATTGTATTTTATTACCTGTGTCACTATCAGCCTTCTGTATGTGAGTAGGCAGGGATGGGTTGAAGAGAATGAGGAAGATCTTTAGATCTCAGCCAGGTCTAGCTAAGCAGACATTGAGAATTTTATATCTAAATGATTACTTTAAATAATTGTAAGTTTTAAATCGCAGCTCTAATCGACAGTGATACAGATGTTACTGGTCAAAATGTATTTGGGTTTCAAACTCCTGGAAGAAAATCAGGATCTTTAGCACAAGCAGGTAAATATATAAATATGCATTCAAAGAATCTATTGACAGAAAGATGTTGTGGCAAGAGTACTGAAGAACTTGACTCACACCTCTGGGGTCTCTGATCCAATCCCTGCACTCACTTTCATATATAAGCGAAATTATTTTGTTAGTTCTCCTTCAATTCAAGGGGTTTTCTCTTGGTTCTTTGGTTTTCCACGTTACACAAGACCTATAAGAGAAATTCCAATTATTATTTTTACTCTCTGAGTTAGCTGTGCCTTGACTTTATTTAATAAAGTTTGAAGGTTTTTGGCTCTTTCTTGGTGTTGCAGGGCACCTGAGCCATGACAATAAAACAATAGCAAAGAACAATGAGTTTGGAGCTAAACAATACCCTGCAATACAATAACCCTAACCCAGAATACAAAAAAATCTTGCTACGCCTTGAGAGACCCGGTTATTTACATGCTTCTTGATGATTTTTCTGTCATCTTTTGTTTTGGTGTGCAGTTAATTTTAAGATCTTAAGATTTTAATTAATTTTAATTAATTGTTTAATGATTATTTTATTTATATCAGCTTCAGAAGCAATTCATGTAAAAAAAAGCAAGACTCCTTCAACTTCTAAGAAATATACCAAAATAGCTGACAAAAGAAAAACAACAGAAAGAAAGAGAAATCAAGGTTGGTTTCTTAAATTGTGCTGTATTAAATTCTTTCTGCTTTGGTTGATGTCTTTGAATTTAATTAGAAAATTCATTGATGACTCAAATAGAGATAATTGCAGGAATTGTTGATCCGTCCGACCCTCCCTCCCTCCTCCCTCCCTCCTCCCTCCCTCCAGTCCGTCCATCTGTCTGTCCATCCATCCGTCCATCCCTCCTTCATGCCTTCAAACACCTATCCATCCATATTTTTTTATTTAATCATTTTTTATTAATTCACACCATGAATCAAATCAACAGTGCAAGAAAAAGAGGAAAAACAGACACAAAATAAGGTATTATACGTCCTTGAATATAAAGTTCTCTCCATTTTCACAGTAATTCAGTCTAAAATCTGCTCACTTTTTTCAAAAGAAATCAAAAAAGGCTTCAACCCCTGCCATGACCGCCAATGACAGCTACAGACGAAGAGGAAGACCTCCAGTCCTTTTGCAATGTAAGCCCTGTACTATGTACTTATTGACTAAGTGGAAGGGCCAGACAGGAAAATATTTGGCTCAAGATCATGTTGTATGGACCAAGCTCCATGAGCAAAATATTTCTGGCCTGACCTAACTTAGTTTTCATGCATTTTGTCATACAACCTAATTTTTGTAAAGAAGGTGGAAAAATCCTGATAAATTGACAAATGGAATGTGCGTAAACCAAGGAGGGTCATGTGGGTCTTGAAAAAAGATATTAATCTTAAGGTTCGGAAGTGTCATTAACTTCATTTATTTCAAACAATACTTTTCCAAGTACTGTTTTAAAGTATATTATGGACACATATTTTCACAGCACAGTGATTGTTTGATCATCGAAGCTTACAGTATTTTTCTTAACTAGCATCAAATGAATCTGATGAAGAGTCAGACGTTGCTGGGAGCAGTAGTGACAATGAAAGTGAAAAAGACAGTGGAATCAGAGCTACACTTGCTTCAAAGTAAGATCAACTGATAACTTTAATTGTCCATTAGCTGTTTTTAAAGGATTGTTAGTAGGTAGCTTGAGTATTAGGTTTTTAAGTATAACTGAAAATGTTTGAAATTTAATATGTACTAGATTCTGGACGTTTTTCTCTTTCCTAATCTAATTTTTGAATATTATTAATAGATATATATTAGTATTTTCTCCTACTCCATATTGCTACTATGTATGTTTTATCATTATTTACTTTTTTCTTTTCTCATTTCTTTCGTCCTTATTCCTCCATGTTATATTTTTGTAAGTTTAAGAAGATATATAGACCCCCTCGATGAGTTTTGCTCTTGCTTTTAATATGTGTCAAAATATGTTTAAATTTAAAATAAATTGATCTTTCAGAAAGTCTATAAAGTTTGATGATAATATACCTGAGGACAYGGTAAGGAGAATAAATAATGGGGATAATGGGGGAGAGGGATGGGAATTTGACAGCGATTTCACAGACTGGAATAATATTAATATGAGTCATGTGTAAGTGTCAATAAATTATTAATGGTGAAGGAAGAGAAAGGTAAAGGCAAAGGCGGACACAGGGGGTGGAGGGGTGGATTAGGTGGCTAGCAACCCCCCTTTTGGAGTCGAAAGATAATAAGATTAAAGGCTGACGGAGGTAAACTTTAAAAAGGATGCTATGCGATGCTGACAGCCAACCCCATTGAAATTGTTCTGAAGCTGCCACCGGAGGAGTGTTGTAGAATTAGGTTATGACAACAATCTGCTCATCAGTTTATCCTTCTCATTATTTATTCTGATCACAGAAATCCATGGTAGAGGAATACTTTTCTGCTCATCATGATACAAAATGTATGACATCAGACAGAACACTTGCCAGCCTTGCAACACCACTCATGGATCAGGATGTATGTTGTATGTCGTCATTGGTTTTTGCATGACTGTTTGTAAATCTTTTATTGTTTTCATGTTGCTGTTGTTCATGTTCATGTAATGTTCATGTTGAGAATACTTTAGAATTAGTCTAGTAAATATAACTCACTCCAGATAATAATTAATAATCCCTTTTTGCATTTGCCAAATACTACAGGCTGTGGTCCTTGACTACATAGTATTACTCCTTTGTACAGCTTTAACCTGGTTTACGGTCAAAGGACACAGGGGGTGGATCCAGAAAATGGTTAGGGGGTGTCCCGAATGAAGATATATATATATATAGAGAGAGAGAGAGACATTATGCATTGCTTCAAAAGCTAAGTAGAGTAATTTTAGAARGTGTAAGGGGGCACCCCCTTGGATGCACCCCTGGGACATGAAGCATGCATGCCTGCTAAGACTGCATTATTCAATTCATTATGATATAATTATTTTGATTTTTTAATATATTTCCTTCCTTTTCAAAATTATCTTCACTTTAAAACAAAAACTAATTCTATAGTTCTTTTGGGACAATAAAAAACCATGATGAACTGTCAAAAGCAGAACAACATTAGTCAACACTAATGATATCCTTGACTGTACATTACAACGTGCAGTGACCAACTGTAAACACAGAGATACGTGTTTGTTGCAGCTTGTGCAGTCTATTAACTATTAAAGACTAGTTTATAAAATGACCCTAAACCTTTATAAATAAGTCCTGTGGTCATCAGAAAAAGCTGCATATTTATTGATCAAATGAGGAAAGAACTTTTTATTGTATCAAAAAAAGTTTTCATTTTTATATAGAAGTCACATGTTTTGTTATTAGGAAGTTTCAAGGCATCTACATCAAGTCAAAACAACACACCCAATTGAAAGTTTACATTTCTACCAAGAATACAGGAAATATTTTGCAAAATGGATGTTCCAAATAAGGTAATCTCAAGACTCATTTTAAGACCATGATTGTTAGTCCAGCTGGGGATAAAACCCATGACTTCCTGCTCACCCACACCCTACTGACAACCTAACCACACCCCACTGACAATCTACCAACACTTTAATGACAACCTACCAACACCTTACTTACCATCTAGTAATACCCTACTGACAACCTATGCACACCCTATTGACAACCTACCCACACCCTACTGACAACCTACCAACACCCTACTGAAAACCTGAACACACCCTACTGGCAGCCCACCAACACCCTACTGACACTCAACCAGTACTAAACCACCTGAGCCTAGCAGTTAAATGCAATATTGTAAAAGTCTTGATCTCTGTTATTTTCATCCAGACATGGCTTCAACCTTCTTTTGTATGGCCTTGGTTCAAAGCGAGTGTTAATAGACCAGTTCAGGTCATCCATGTTACAAGGCTATACCCAGATGGTTGTAAATGGTTTCTTTCCAAGTATTATGATAAAAAATGTAAGTGATTAGTATATACACTACTGCGAACCAAACCACTACTCATAACCCACAAATATCCTGACATCCTACACACACCCTACTGTCAACCTACTTTCACCCTACTGACAACCCACCCACACCTACTGACAACCTA